TCAACCAACTTGAGCTCAAATCGTACAAAGTACATTCGCCTAGCATGCGTGCGAAATCGTTTTCTCGTAACGTATACACCTGCAATCCGGAGATACAGACTAAAAACGTACGACACGATTCTCATTCTGTTGGCAGCAGATCGACTCCATAACCCGCCTAACTTGAAACAATAGGCAGCTACTAACGACTCTTGCGGCACTCTTGCGCCCTCAGCGAATGCGGCTCGCTGGGAGATTGGAGCTGGAGCTGGCTGTCTGATTGCATTGGAGGTATTTTCAAAATACCTTTTATAAGACAACGTGCAGTGAAATGGGAGGAACTAGAGTTTATTTTGTCATAAGGTAGTGTGATTATGCATGCCACGAAGTATTTGCTAGTCTAGTACTGGAGAAATTAGCGTTTGGATGCGCATTGTGAGCCTTTAATAATAGCGGTTACCTGCAGACATATTTGCTTGCACATGTTGCAAGTGAGCAAGAGCTCACCGTACGTCTCCCTCAGGTATTGGTCCAGCTCTAGTATCCCCCTAACTGCCAGCGACACGTCTCCCCTTTCCTGCAAGAATACAGCCGTCAGAGCGACTTCACCCCATGCAAGCGCAAGTACGTGATTTCTCATCATGTTCAACACACGTCTGCAAACCTGGTCACGAAGCTGGGTGCTAGGGCCATCCTTAAAAGATTCCGTGTTTGCTGTCCCCCGACCCATGATTTTTTTAGTAGGTAGGTAGGTAGTTCTTCTTTTTTTTTTGAGGCATAATAGTTATTTTAAGTCTGTCCTCATGTTTGCATCTTAACTATAAGGAATGTAAAAAAATAAAATAAAATGGAACCCAAAATGTCAAAAAAAACTTTTGGGTCGCGGCTATTTTCGTGGGTCGGTCGGCGGACAGCAAACATATAATTTTTTAAGGATGACCTAGGAGCCACTACACTCACCACGTTGATCCACTTGTCGATCGCCAGCCTCTGTACGACACTCTCCGCCGCGTCCTTCGACATCTTCTTGTCGAGGACAGACGTCAGGTTGATGGCATCAATCGACGAGATAATTCCGTTATCGGAATATACAATCATGTCCATCTGCAATGAGGCCAAGTCACAACTTCATCAGAGAGAAACCTGTTTCAAACTGCTCGTTACAAGTACCTTTGAATACTTTATGATTTTTTCTTTGATTTCTTCATACTTCAAGGCCGAGAAACCATGAAAGGTTTCCCGCTGGTACCAGATATCGCACAATTAAAGATATTTAGCTTGCATCAGGCATACATTGAGTATACAATGTTAATCAACAAAATCTTAAACTTAATAAATAAGTAATCAAAGGATAAAGGCGGTAGGATTCTGATGACCTAATAGGTACAATTACCATCTTTTTGAATAACTCCAGCTCTAGAGGTGTAAAATCAGCAGCAAGTCTTGTCACAGGCGAGTCACTCAAATTTACCTGTTAATATTCAGCAAGCTATGTGAATGAAATCAACAACATGGCACAATTGCACAATATTTAAACGGTTCAGCACCTGCTGCTGATCGACTTCATGATACAGGTTACGGAGCTTATAGTGTTCAATAAAATACAACTTAATTCATCTCAAACGCCGTGTTACACGATGAAACTGGCTAAAGGTCTGTCACACGTACCTTAAAAATTACACATTCTAAACACGAGACCAGATTGAAAGCAGTCAGCACGTTTAATTTAATATTTTATTTGTCAAATTGATAGTTTACTTTGCAAAACGAAAGAAAGAATTGTTTTTACTAAATTTAAATTATGAGAACTATCATTATAACCGGGGGTTAATAATGACAAATTTGTCATTATTAACAACTGACATAACTTACTAGCGCGTAATATTGTGCGCCGCTGACTTCATTCACGCCTTTCTTAATTTCCATGTTGTAAAGTCGGATATTTGAGTTGATTGCCACGACAAATTGACTGAGATTGGCATCTTCTGTCAAAACTATAATAATCAAAAAGTAATCAGAGTAAAAACCAATGGAAATATGGCAACTAATGAAAAGTTTATGATACACAGCCAAGCTAAAATTATGTATATAACCAGTTACATTTCTTAGTGTAATTTGGGCTTGCAGTAAATTAGTCATAGACACAAACAAATTAATGATAAACAATCTGATAACATGGGAAATCATGCCTCTAGTTGCAGTTTGGGCATAAATCTGCTCCAAATTGAATTCAAGTGTCTACACACAGAACAGCACAACAGCATGTAACTCTTGAAGAAGCCTCCATTATCGAAGAGAGATGGTGCATAGAGTGATAAAGCTTTACCTACGTAGACAGTCGTTCCTATTGTAGGACGAGGAGGTACAGATAGAGCTAAGTAATGGACACATCACAGAATTAACGACAAACAGATTTATTCACATGTACAATACAATAATGTAAAACTATGCATCACTCTGTGATACATTACATGCAGATGTGTGGATCGTTTGCGGATACATATAGCCAAGTGCACATAAACTCTTTGTTATCACGGGTTTATGTGCTTTTAGCCCGACCAGGCACTGACCGTTTCACGTCTATATATTTGTGGCCAATGTGCTCTCTACAACATAACTGTCAAACTGAGTAAGGTGTAAACCCAATTTGCATATGCTAACTATTAACGCTCATAGGGTCTATGTCCCCCAGGGTACTGCCGGAACGTACCCTGGTAACTATCTGATATGGTTAGGGTTAGG